CTTCGGGCTCTTGGATACCTTTTTCTCGTTGTATGTGTGCGTGTTCTGTAGATCCTCAGATGGCTCTAGCACTTTCGTGACCACGGGCTGAGAGTCTTTTTCTAGATTTTGGCATTTAGCAACTGACATACGGTTTAATGTGAAGACAACAACAACAACAACAACAACAACCCACAGTATTTACCCTCAACTGGGAACCTCTTGTGGCCAGGATGTACCGATTCAGGTAAAAGTCGATCGACGGATACCCTGCGAATCGAGTCCTCCTTAACACTCTCCACCCACAGAAATTACCCTCAACTGGGAACCTCTTGTGGCCAGGATGTACCGATTCAGGTAAAAGTCAATCGACGGATACCCTGCGAATCGGTTCCTCCTTAACACTCTCCACCCACAGAATTTACCCTCAACGGGGAACCTTTTGTGGCCAGGATGGGTAATTCGATGGAAGTGTCACAAAGTTCTTTTCTAGGATCGACTCCAGAGGAGTTCTCAGGACTGACACACATTGCGTCCATGGGAAAATGTCCACGTCAGGAGAAAAAGTGTGCACCCAAGGAGATTCGAACCAGTATCCAGCTGACGCCATGTGCGAAGGTGTACGTACCACAGGTAAACGTCAATCGACAGGTACCCTGCGAATCGGGTCCTCCTTAACACATCTATCTGTAGTCGGATTTTCCGGTAAGGGCTTCCGCGTATGTCTCTGGACTCTCCGCTCCGAGGGCAAAATGCTTCCTGTGGTACGCCGGCAGGAAGGGTGTCTCCCTTTCCGATCAACCCACGTCGACGAGGGTGAACCTTGCTCGCACATCCGGCCCTCCCCCCCTCACCGGCAACTATCTTGTCACGTTTTCCCCAATACACGGCGCTCTTTCGTCGTCGTACGCCTTTTTCTTCGGACGGGCCTCAACGCATCCCTCTGACCGGACGCGCCGAGTTAGAGCCTGGTGATGTGCTTGGAGTGGCGACTGCCCCACTGGTGCAGATTCCGGTTGCGTCGATTGATCGTGCGCAGCGGACGGCCGCGGTGTTGGGTTGGATGACCCTACGCCGCCAGCCCATTCCGAGGCTGGGTAGCCGTCCCGCGTAAATTCTTTGCATTCCAATATCCCGGTTGCGGATCCGGAAATCTCTGACTTTCCCACGGCACCATAACCGCCGCCACCGGAATTGATGGAACGCCTTTCGGAAGCGCAGCGAGTCGGTCTTCGCGATTTGTGGGAACCCTCGCCTGCACCTTTGCCCTTGTTACTTTTAGTACACATGACTGAGGGTTGGCCTCCGGAAGCCAATAACGGCTTGGTGGATGTGCTGTGTGACTTTCGTGACGGGTTTTTGCGGTCACCGTCCAGTTTCGGTTGTTGATCAATGAAACGTTTCGTTTGGAAGTGCCCCCGGGCGCGAAACCGCTGGTGGTCTCGCGTCCCCATCGACTTTCTAGTATGACGCTCCAATGGATAAGGACGTGAAGCCTATGGGTCCACATACATACAGCGTGGGACTTCACGTAGGAACAGGGTCCAAGCTGCGCATTCAGGTCACATACATACTGGGACGCCGTGGGACGCGTGGATTAGGCGTGTTGGCACAAATGGGCCGTCCCAGGAGTCTGATGTGATGTCTGGGGCGTCCAATGCCTGTCTGTCTCGTAGGACACGTGGGGCGTTCAACGTCTGTCCCGCTGGACATGTTCGGACGTCCCACGTGTCCCATGGCACAGCCATTATTGGACGCCCCACTTAACCCATTGGACAGTAAGTTGACGACCCCCGTGCCCGATGGGACAGCTAGAGGCGTCCAACGTATCCCATGGGGCGTCTCATGTGTTGCTCGTCGAGTATCGTATGGGACGCCTGGCCCATTGCACGCCCACGTACATGCCTGTTTCAACAAGACTTCGCAGTTAGCGTCTCAACAATCAAACTCGCTTATTGGCGAGTTTCGGTCAACGTTTTTTTACTTCTAGAATTAGAAATAACTTCTAGATTTAGAAGGAAGGGTCAATTTCTGGGAACCTTCCTCAAAGCGGGGGAACATTGAGCTCCTAAATCTGGAGTGTGGCTCACAGATTTAGAAAAGAAGACCGTCCGCTGGCGCTTCTTTTTTCTAAATCGAATTTGCTTTCAGGAGAAGAAATAGATTTAAGCTTCAGGGGAGGAGCAAAGAGACCATCATCACTGTAACAACAGCAGCAGCAGCAGCAGTAGTAGAGGGAAGCCTGATGTAATCAAACTACAGCAGGTACCACGGAAGGTGATGCTGTTGTGTGGACTCCATCGCTGCTGCCGACGAAGGTCAGACCTACATCTATCTGGGGGTGGTTGGTTGGTCTGCGTGCGGAAGAAGAAAAAAGCAGGCGTGTGCGTGTTGTGGTGTGTGTGTGTGTTTCTGTCTGCTGTTGCTGCTGGGTTGTTGCCGGCCGAGAGAAGAAGCACCAGGCTGAGAAAGAGGAAGATCAAACCACCTGTCTAGACACGGCTCTCGGTGATGAGCTCTGCTATATAGCGGGGTGTGCGTCCTCTCTTCTTGCTGGTTCCTGCTGCTGGTTGGTGTTCTCTGTCCTCTCTCTCTCTCGTGGAAAATGTCTGTCTGTCTCTCTTCGCACACATCAAGAAAAAGAGAAGTGAGGCGCCTTGATTACCCTTCTCACAGATTGAACTTTGTGCAGCCCCCCTCAACCACCATGGCCGTGGTCTGTGTCAACCTCCTCATCAACGACAACCTGCTTTGAAGCGCTGGTGGTGCAGAATGAAGAGCACACCGCCGTGTGGCGATGTGTGATGATGTGATGTGCAGCAAGCTGCTGCCCTTTTTTCTTTTCTGCCGCCTTGCCCGCCTCCGGCGTGTTTTTTTGCCGCGTTCAACTCCGTGGTTTCCATCAAATAAATTTCCGGGAGCCGTCGTTCTTCCTATATCTAGAAGTTAAATCTAGAAGTGCCGTTTGTGTTCCGAAACAGTCTATTAATAGTTTTTTTTGAGAGAAGTGGCCCGATAGGGGCGCATTTTGTTTTCCAAAAAAAAACTGTTTAGACGGGGGGGGCAAAACGGGCTCAAGTAAGGAAGGGGTATTATTATCAGGCCGAAAAAATACGTATTCGGTTGTGAAACCGTACTATCTTGAAATATATAGAGGCGTTCCGTTACGTTTCCGTAAAAAGAGCGAAGCGTATTTTTTCTGGGTTTGCTCCTTTTACTGTTCGGTGAAAAATTTCCCCTTTTTTCGACGACCGGAGCAGACACCGGTCACGCGTGCTGTCTTCATCACACCACACCTAGACAGCACCACCAACACCCCAAACCGCTTCCCGAGGCAACTCCACTACCATGACTGAGCGCCGGAAGCGCCAGCATCCCCAGGGGCCCGCAGCGCAACGCCGGGAGAAGCGCCGTCGAGGAGCTATCGACGAGGTCGGTGCAGCCCAGGAACACAGGAGATCTCTCACAGTCCTGGGTCTTCTGCAGGCCGTAGTAGTGGCGGCGGGCGTGGTGGCAGCAGGAGAAGCTCATCGTGCCCACTGCCCTCAGGAACGGGAGCCCATCTACGAGCCCAAGCGGCTTCCGTAGGCCCAACACGAGGCGGACCTCGATAAACGGCAAGGCTGGCGGCGGTCGTACCGCATGGAGAAGGCCAGCTTCCACAACAAGCTTGTCGAGCTACTCCGCCCTTCGCTGGCAGTCAACGCCTTCTTCGGCGCTGAGAGTTAATGTGTAAATGCAGCCGCCCACGGCAGGTATGCGTAAGGCTTTCTCTCATGTATACGTAGAGAACAACGGTGAAGAGCAAGTCTAACAGCCAGGAGAAACACTACTGCTGTAGACTGCCTTACTGTTTGTTTGCTATCTTTTTCAAAAAAAACTCCCTCATCCAAACATGCAGCCAGGGTAGTATGCATACACGCAGCAGCACTTATTCTACAGCAGTAGGTACAGCAGTGTGTCTGCACATGCATACAGCAGCAGTCGTTGTATGGGAACGACAGGAAGGTACTATGGTGGCGCTGAAATAAGTTCATCAGTATGAATAGAGCGTGCAATACACGCCGGCACCACTATACATTATACATGCCTCGTCGGGAGCCTACACAGGTTGTCGTATCCCGCAATGATAGCATACAAGAGTCGACACGTGCTCCTCATATGCATATGCGAGGTTAGTTGTGTGTTCCGTGAAGAACACAGAGCCGTCTCACATCCCTAGTCGGGAGGTGTATTGGGCCGGTACTCTGGCGAGTTTAACGATGACATGCGTCCTTTGACACTGGCGATTGCAAACAAAGCCCCTATGACACTGGTACATATTTCCTGACCGACACACGCTCATCCTTCGAACATTATCTGCGCATCGCTCCGAAACCCCACAGCACTGCGATCGCCAATCAACGGCGCCATAGCTGTAGAAGTCCGCGTTGCCGTGGCGTTGAGGATCCTGGCTGGCGCTAGTTACTGGGATGTTGCCCTCATGTTTGGCTTGTCGGTGCCGACCACGTACCAGATCTTGTGGTCGGTGATCGACGCCATCAACAAGACGCCTGCGGTTGGGGCATTCGACTTCCCCTTGACCGAGGAAGGCTGCATGCAAAATGCCAACAGATTCAAGGTGAGGCCTAGCGGTGGTCATTACTGCTGCTGTGGGTTATTCTTGGCGGCATTCTCTTGACCAGCCGCGGGATGTCGTTTTTTTTAATTGCGACTGGCGTTTCCAGCCGTTTTAGTGTAGGGAGGCCTAGACTATACACAGCCTTCGACGGTAACGCAGGAAAAAAAATGTCGTCCCCGGCGGATACAAGTTCGGATTGTCATTGTGGTCAGCATGCCTTTAATCGAAAAACAACCCCCGGGTGCGAGGTCAATGGTCTAACGACTACGGCATATGAGTATACCCCGGGTCCCGGGTGGTGCGCCAGCTGTTGGTCTTTGTACAAATGGCCATATTACAAATAAATGTTTTGTTTTGTGTCATCATTGGTGTATGCTGGCCGTGTTGGTTCCTCTCCGCAACAGTGGCCCCGCAACTGCTTTTAGTCAACCTCGTGGCCCTGAGATACCCTGGTACATTTTTACCGCTGAACCTGACGCAATGTTAGGATTAGCAAACACGGTATGTGCACCGTTGCTGGTGATGGCGCCGTCGCACACGACATCAACCCACACAACGTACAGCCGAACGCAATTGGCCGAAATTCGTCAACGTCCATCTCTCGACTAATTTCTTTCCCCTTCCCGGCACTGCTGCTTTCCCGCCCTCGTGTCTGCCGTCTACAAATGCAGGAGAAGAGCACCGATGACATTTTATCCTGGGTCGTCGCCGCCGTGGATGGTCTGTTCATCAAGGCCAAGGCTCCGT